TCGGCTTGTTGATTTTTTTTTCCGGATATTATTTAATCTGCAACTCTTGCTTGATTAAATTATGAGATGTCTAACCCAATTAAGATATATTATGATTTTCTTGCATCTCTTTCTTTGAATTTGCCTTGAATTTGTGCACTTTTCTAATCCTGCAGGCATCAGTTGCAAATGCACTGCCCGTGGTTGACATGTGCAGACAGTGGTTGTCAAAGTACAAATTTGGCGTCTAGCTCCTGGAAGTAAACACAAGGTGGTAAAAGAAAGATGTTGACAGAAGAATTTTGCATTTGTAGATCTATTACAAAATAAGTGTTGGTGTAGGAGTAAACATTTTTCTACCTTGTAGTGGTGAATATTCGATCCCTGTTTTCCACCAAATTCTCATGATGTATTGATGTAAATTCTATTCCCTTCCATAGGTAATTAGCCTTCAATTAAAAGGCTTAGCTCCATATACAATTTGTGTCCGGTGGTTAATCCTTCAGGCCAATCAATTTGGTCTTAGCTGTAAATAATCTCTCATCCTGTGAGATAATGCTCACCAAAATATTCTTGAGATGTATCCAATGTGAGGAATATGCATCTCTTATGCTAGAACATTTATGAGCAACAAAGAACCGTTTGATCTATTTATATAGGTTTTCTGTGTGTTTCCAGGATGTCATTAACTTGGTGGAAAAGATGGTTGCATGATCGACAAATGTTAAGGAAACAAGAAGTTATTGAAGCACCATAATAAAGGTAATGCATTTATTTTACAGTATTGAACTAGGCTCTGTACTCGTGTTCATTATTGCTCCTTGTTTGACCATGCTTCTGATGATCATGAATACCATGTCGATTTATGCACTTAGAACTCGGGAAAGCTACAGAGAGATTACAATGGAGAGAGATAAATATGAACTTATAAACATGTCTTTGGATTTATATTTTTTGTTCTTTCTTTTTCTAATCATCTGAACATTACATTGTTGCCGGTAGCAAGTTTGTTCAGTCCTTTCTTATTGAGCTGAAGCTTTGAGGAGGAATTGATTGCTTTCTTTCTGAGTGCTTTAGACGCCCATGAAGGATAGGCTGTGGAGTGATGGTATAAATCACCATCTAGGTCTCTTACTAGGGCTTCTTTTGTAGGCGAGTCTCTTTGTATAATCCATGTTCTGGAGGTGAAAAAAGCACGTCTTTCTCTGGTTTTATTCTTGAAGGATCGCATCAGTTTTGGTACATAAAAACTAAAAGAGAGTAGAACCGATCACATGCAATTGCCAGTAGAGCAAGTTGACTAATGTGCTTTGAGCCATCCATAAAGCAGTGATGAGTATATACATTACCAGGACATTGGTAATCTGTCTCAGTCTAATGTGTGGAAACAGTCGCATCCACAGCTCCACGGATCAAACTATAGCTGCATGTCAACTTAAATAATTCTCTAAAACTGTTGCTAAATGTGTTTTTATCTCTTTTCTATATTAAGTCTGGCTGTACTTTGTATGTTGGCAAATGGCTCTAGAAAGCGAGTCAAATTGTGTAACAAAGTTGCTTAAACCTAGGAGCAGTTGATAGTATATGGGCTCTACTCAATTTGGAAGGTCAGAAATGAAATGTCTTTCCTTAAGAGTTGAAGTCACTCCAACTAATATCTTCTTTAGAACTGTTGCCTATGAATCCAGTTGTAAAACTATGTTTGTATCTCAGGGATTAACTTGTGAGACAAATACTATCAGGATGGCTTGGACTAACCCTCAGCAAGATTGGTTTAATCTTAATGCTAATGGCCGTATCTGTATCAATTGCAGGAGGGTGGGGCAGACTTTCTGGACCGAGATTCTAATCGAGTGTTTATTTTTGCAGGTTGTAAATTCTTGTAAGACATGAATAGCTGTTGTAATGGCTAATGGCTCGTATCTGTATCAATTGCAGGAGGGTGGGGCAGACTTCCTGGTCCGAGATTCTAATGGCGTTTTTATTTTTGCAGGTTGTAAATTCTTGTAAGACATGAATAGCTGTTATAATGGGTTGGCTGCTATTAAGGAGCGACTGTTTCAAGCCAAACAAGGTGGAATTCACCCGATTGAAATGGAGGCAGAAGTGATAAGCTGAAGCTTCCTTTGAGGATGCACGAGTTACTGATATCCAAAACTTAGGATGTACAAATTACTTTGGTAATATATTATCTTTTCTTAAGACAGGTGTTTCGCTAAAAATTATGTGACACTCAATCCATAGCTTTGAAATTATATGAAACTAAACCTAGACTCAAATAACGCTCGTCTTGTATCTCACCAACTTGTGCACCTATTTTCCCTTGGATTTGGTGGAGGACTCCCACTTAGAACTTGTAGTGGTCTAATGGCTATGGTTTTGTTCTTTTCATTGACTTATTAAATTGGCGTACGTGCATTCGGCTTGTCCTGCGCACAGAACTTGGATTTCGTGATCAACGCACATCGTCTTCAAACCCGAAAACGACAGCACAGAGGCGAAACGGAGTACGTTCTGTTCTCGTATTCGTCTTTTCTCCATGTTTGACTGATTTCTTCTTACCATGAATACCACTCCCCGTCGTCAAAATTTATCGACTCTGCAGATTTCCCAGCAGGAAGAAGAAGAAGAACACAAGCACCCAACTTGCGAGTTCTCTTTTCTTCTCTCTCCGACACTTACGGAACCTTATATTGGAGTTTCATGATGTCATCGGTAGCGCATGACAATTTCGACAAGCTAAAACGGAAATCACTGAGAGTGAGAGATGTTACTTGCAATGAAGCGTCGGTTCATAC